TCATTTTTAGAAATTTGAGGATGGGCAGTGGGGGCCCACCTATCACAAAATGTGGAAGATTGCATGTGTTGCACCTGAATGGGTACCCTGCAGACACAAATGCCTCAAAGGCTCTTCAGAAGCACCTCCTGCTCCAACATGACAGAGAAAACCTAGCACTGGGCCTCTGATTTGGGAAAGATGCAAGTAGGCAGGGACCATGCTGAGGATCACAGGCTTAGCGTGGTGGTAACACAAAGGGAGCTTTCACATCCCTCCTTCTGGCAGTGTCTAGATTAATAGGCCATGTGCTAAAACAGAAAAAGAAGCAGGTTTATGTTGCCAGTCACATAAGACTTTTGGCATATTTAAATTCACAGAAGTAAAAGTGTATGGACGATAGTGGTACTCACCCATGTGTTTAAATGATATGTACTACTTGCATAGATTGCTGTGCATGCCCCCTCGGTAGTATATGTATATTTCTCATTGGTCTTATAATTCCTGTAGTGTGCATTGCTGTCATCATACATGGGAAAGAACCACTGACCATCATACTGGTATAGCAGAAAAATGATGGAAAGAAAAGAAGAGGGTGAAGTGTGCTGATAGGCAGCAAATTAAGCTTTTTGAATTGTTGAGTATAGAGTAGGGTAAAGAAACAGGTAGACTTAATGGCAGCTGATTTACAGTGCAATTGTAAGAAGTTACACCCTTCAGTGCCTTTGGTTTTAGAAGGGTGTGACTTTGTTTAGGATTGCATTGCTGCATGCTCAGCCTCTAGCCAGTGTTGTGGGCAGGCTAGCATTGACTGGCTCAACAACTTTTCCTGCCAAGCCAATTGGCATAAAGCAAAAAATACTCCCAACAGTCCCCTCAGATTCCATGGACTTAATTTTTGGTATGTTTGTCTTTTAACTACTGTTGCTTGCAGCATCACTTTTGCTGTAGTAATATTAATGTTGCTCTTCTATTTAGCATTATAACAAAAAGCTGTTCTTTGACTGGCTACCTAAAGGCCTACCCCAAAGGGTTTTGGTAGTTCTAGGACATGTGAATAAAAATGGCCCATCTCATTTTGAGAATATAAAAACTAGCAGTTGATCAGATGTCTTTCCAGCTTGGGGATTTTTTTTTGTCCCCTTCTCTTTCCCATTAGTCTTAAAATGTGTTTTGCATCAAATACTATCCAATTAACTCTGCAATTCATCCTGTGTGTTTGATTTTGAGACTCTTGAAACAGCAAGCTTGGGGCTTTTCTACTATGTCCTGACACCTCTTTCAGTCCCGCTTTATCAGATAGCCTGATGAAGTGTTCTGGGAAACTTTAAACCTTGCTATTTTGTGATTGGCCCTAACAAATACACATTACACAGCGATTGTGTTTGGAATTTTTAGTGGACCAATCACAGCTGCCTATAGTCTTCACCTGTGGGTCTTCTCTTAAGACTATGGATTAATATGCAGTAATTGTTTTTTGTTGGCTAGAAACATCATTGGTGACAGCTAGAGAACAAATCTGTTGGCTGTGAGCCAGTTTCCACAGTCTTCCTCTTTCTACATAATTGAACTCTGGTCAGGTGGTATACCAAAGATGTTTGGCATTGATATGGGAAGCCTAAGTTTAGACTTTCATTCACTGGATCCCCTTGGGTGAGTTACTTCTCAGCCTATATTAGCTTAACAGGTTGTTGTAAATACGCAACAGAATGTCAAGCAGCTTTGTTTATTTTATGTATTTACAACCTGTTTGCATTCCCAGTTATGATTTTACAAGTTCTTTCACCTTTGCCAATTGTGCATACCTCTGTCACAAATACTTGAATGAACAGAGTTATCTCTAAGGCATTGGATCACAATCATTCTTTGCTGCCTGGAAGGTATTAGTCTGTGATAGCAGCCATCTTATTTCTGCTTGGAGAAATCACTGCATCCTTTGGGAATCAAGTAGGTTTGTTCAATTGCAAATGAGCTCTGATTAACTATTTAATATTTGGTTGTTTAATATTTGCATTAATTCTTGGTGTGATGCGGATAACTAAAATATCAAGTTGCTTCATATGAACAATTGATTGTTAAGAATAAACAGACTAAGTGATTCACCCCCTTAAGCACTTGCTGCGATTCCCCCTCCTCATGAAGCCTGACCATATATTGATGATAGATTCCTTAGTACTTTGAAGGGTTACAGATGCCAAGGAGAAAGAAAAATATTACCTTGTTTTCAGCTATTACCCCTTCTACAGAAATAATTGCTCAAAAGCACTTCCCCCCATGGAAAAGGCTTAGCAATACTTGGTCTGGGAAATGACCATCAAGCCAAAGAAAAGCAGCAATGTCTTTAAAAAAAAATGCTGTAAAGTCATTTTGATCTTATCTCCAGCCTTTTCCGCCCAAACCCACCAGAGTCTTTACTAAGCTGTCTGTCTATAAATAGAACAGCAGCTCTCTTGCAGAGATGGGCAGCTGTAAACTACAGGCTTATTTTCCCCCAGGCAGCATCTGTATTGTATGAGAGGCAGCAAAACAGCTATGTAAGGCTTTTTGCTGGCCTTTCATGTCTAAGTCATGTACCTGAGGGGTTCCTGTAGAGAATCTAATGCAGGGAAATGCCTTGAAATGTTTTGCTTGTTTGTGGGGGATGGTAACAGCTTTTTTTGGGGTGGTGTTCATTTCTTTGCAAGAGCAGTATTTAAAAGATGGAAGAGTGCTTGTCGTTTGCACAGGTGAGTTTATTCTGTGGATGTGAGGGAACGCCCTGTTGGACTTTTACAAGGGATACTATCTGTACAAGGGAGTTGGAGGCTGTACTGGATGGTACTGGTGATCCTCAAAAAGCACTTTTTCACTAGCTGCTGGTAAAATTGATTTTGGCAAGGGGAACTGTGCCAAAACTGGAATTCCTCAACTGTTGGCAGGGGTAGGCATCCCTAGTTCAACTTTATGTGCCTTAGACCAGTCTTGTAAATAGCCTCTTGCCTCCTCTCTTCTAACAAACAAAAATTATGTCCAGCTGACCAAGAAGGGAAGTTTTTGTAGGTGGGAAAATTTTGATTCTTTTCTTGCTGTAGTTTGATGTGGAATAGATTACAAATATGGTGTTTTGTGGACAGTCTGGTTAGAAAAGGGGGAAAGATTCCCCTAGTAATTCTTGTCGGTTTTTTTGCACAGTTGGTTTACCCACTTCAAAAATCAGCTTTTAATTATTTTAAGAGAATTTTCAAATCTAGAATGATTAGTAACTCTTTGTTTCTGTCACTGAATTGGAACGTTAGCATCCCCAGGTAATGAGAATACTAGGTTATCTTAATTGTTGTATTTGCTGCCAAGTGTCAGTTGATGACTCCATGTTACATTGAGAACCTCTGATAATAGAATAACCTCACAGTCAGCTTTATGAAATTATTGCAGTATTTCCCCATAACAGGGTTTTGCTAGACCAAACTGCTGAAGCCATGCCTCTAGCAATTGAAGGTGGGAGAGAGGAAGTGTTAAGCGCAAGACTTAAACCCCATTTTATGTCACCTGCCCGTGGCAAAAGCTCTGCATTGGTAATGACTCCATGCTGAAGACTTTGCTTTTGATTTGTGCCTTTGACCTATTTTTAAAGGTTCGACCTTGCAATGATTTTAAATGTATCATTTGGTATTATCTTTCCTCAGCTGCATTAACAAATATGTCTTGTACAGGGAGACTTAATGAATGTGGGCTAAACATAGCAGTGTAGCCCGGATATGCATTTTATGTGAATGAGTGTAGGGAGGGAGGCAGTGTCTATGTGTCTAGCTGTGGAGCAGTGGGGAAAAAAAGTTGAGAATTCTGTGTGTAGACAAACTTGGCACTTCAGCCTTGGGAAATGGCAGCCAGCCAGTCTGCAATGAGTCAGAGCCAAGAATATGTGAAAATAATACCAAATATAAAAGCTGGAAAGATTATTCTTGCCTTTTTATTACTGCCCTCCTCTGTCCCTTAAATATGCAGATCATTTCCTGTGGTAGTCAGATGATCAGCATCACTTTACTGCTGTGTGCTAACTTTAGTCAAACAGATGAGATCAGAATCCTGATTTGACAGGACAGGGCTTTAATCTCAGCCTGGGAGACTTCTGTGCTTTCTGAAGACTTTGGTGCTTTTTGTATCATTAAAGTTGGTTAAGTTCACCTTGACAAACTTAAAGAATTGTATCTTTCTCACACCATGATAACATCTCTCAAACACAGGAAAGGAATATCTGTGCTGTGTATTTTACTGTTGTTTATTGCACTTGGATATAGATAAGATCACCAGCTCAGTTTTATGTGTGTGCTGGCTACTTCCAGGAGAGGGCAGTCTAACAATAAAGTATATTGCTTTCCAGTGCAATACTCTGCATCTTTTATTTATTATATTTACATCCTGCTTTTCAGACAGTTGTTTCCCAAAGCTGCTCACATTAATCAAGAGACAGAGGCCTCTGGCTTCAAGCTCACAAGTTTAAAAAGGCAGG